AAACTGCACTCGCGGAGTTTAACAGATCTATAATAACCTGCGTGTCAGACCATTGCTTCGTCGTAATTCGCTTATATATATATATATACTTTGTGTATCTTTTAAATCTTCGGATCTCTGGAAGGATTTTATCACAAGCTGCGCACACTTGCTTGCACTTGCGTAAAATAATAAGCGCTTACGTAATCAAGCGCGTTGTGTGAAAGAAAAAACGATCCGAAAGAATTTGTCTCGAACGATAATCGCGTGAATTTCTCATACGGCAGATTGGTCCTCCGCAGAAAAGAGCAAGTTCTTACCCGTAGGAACCGGGGTCCCGAGATGATGGAAGAACCCTTAATCTCTCATGGAAAGAGTACACCAAAAGTTGCGGATGCGAGAAAAAAAACGATAATCCCCAAAACATACTATTAACTCCTTTGGACAAAGAGGTGGAATGTCGAGGAGAAACCGCTCGTCGTTTGGGAAAGGAACGAAGGGTGCAAGAGAGAGAGAGAGAGAAACGAAGTGAAGGAGGAGTGGAAGGGGCAGCGGCATAACGAGAAGGGATAGAGGGGAAGGAAGGGGTGTTGGAGAGAAGCAGCAAAGTTTCGCTTTAGGAGAGGAGAACTTAACTGAGTTAACTTTGCTGCCGAACCGAACTTTCCGCCAACTTTAAGTAGTCGCCTCTCTTCTCCCCTCCGTCATCCCTCCTTGTGTTCGCTGTGAGACGGAAGGTACAGCGCGCGCGGAGAGCAACAACCCCTTTTGCCTCCTTCATGAGAGAACGAGAATGGCCGAACTACCGACACCAATACTCGTAGTCATAATTGGACGACTTCCTTATCCCTCTCGCGCTTTTTTTCTTCTCACCTTCCTTTATTCTTTCTGTCAGAAAAATCGGTCTGTAAAAAAAAAAAAGGCAGCACGCGGAAACATAATACATCGCGCTTTCCGCGAAACGCTCTTTTGCGATGAGTTTGAGACCGATGCGTTTAGAATACAAACTAGTTTTTCGCGAGTAAGAATATTTTTCACGCGAGTTTTGATTTGTGAACTGCTTCTTGAGAGAGCGTTGTCTTTGAGAGACAAAAAAGTGCAATAACAAGCAAAACTATCAAGCTTTTTTTAAAAACAAAACCAAACAATCCTAAGAGTTTACTGTTATTTGTTTAATGAGAACTCGACAATCTTTGCAAGTAATTTCTAAGAGTTTAGAAACTTTTGTAAACTATCGTTGTGAAAAACTTGGGAATTTTCGCAAATTAATTTTGAATAGTCGATGGAAGAAGCAAAGAAGAATCCCCTTCGTGCCTCCGTTCGTGTCACACACCTGACTCGCATGAAAAAACAATTCGCTTCAATTATTATTGTCGAGAAGCGTCAAGTCGTTTGAATTTCACGTGTCACCAACAAAAACCAAGTCACTCTTCTCTCTCTCTCTCTCTCTCTCTCTGTCTTTCTCTTTCCTTCTACGAGAGAACGGCAAGTTTTGAAACAAACTTTATTTTATCGTGGCTCGATTGTGGAGATGTGGGGAGGAGGGAGAGACCCGGCAGGACCGAGCTTTTCCTCTCCCCCTTCCTCTCTACTCCGCCACCCACGGTTTCTCCGCCAAGTAAAGTTGCTCCCAGGTTAGACAATAATTGGATAACTTCGCCCTCATAGCGGCCCATCCTGTTCGTAACTCCATTCACCCTCTCTTTCTCTCCGTTTCTGCCTTTGTTCTTCTCTCGTCTCTCTCTCTCTCTCTTTCCCTCCGTCCTGAGCACTGATCTGTCCGTTTTTGTTTCTCCAAATCGAAGGACTCTGTTGCATAGCGAAATTAAACCGAGAGGAGTTTAAGATTAATACCACTCGGTTGGGAAACGTTCCCCTTTAAAAGATCGATATATCTTTTATTTACTAATCTGAGGTATGAAGGAAACGCGCACGACGTTTATATATATATATATATATATATATATATATATATATATATGACATATCGCAAAAGAAAAAGATAAGTGCACGCGATAATAACGATGAAGAAGAACTTTTAATTTTTTTTTGCAGCTTGCTTCATGTAGCTTCAGCTGCTGTCAAAAAAAAAAAAAAAAAATGTGTGCATTTTTTTACAGTTCGAAGTTACACGTGGGAGATGCATGTAATTAACTAAAACGATGTAAAACAAACCTAAATTTGTGACTCAAAAAATTGCAATTGGGACAAGTATTACAATTTACTTGACATTGCGTCTATATATCTGGCAAATTCATCGAGAAATTTATTATTGTAAAATTACGATTCTCCAACTATACACACTTTGCCACACCAAAGGTAATCGCACGATCTTCTTTCCGCAGCGTATTTCCTCGACGCGCCGATGATTTCGCTGTTAAGCGGCGCGTATAACGCGTGATATACGCTACCAGCTGTCGAACAAGGGCTTAATCTCGCCTGTGCTCGATCCCCTCCTTCTCCTCTCCCCTTCTCCCGCTTTCGATGATACTAGCTTACGTTTTCGCTGAGTTGGCACAACATGTGCCCAAGTCAAAGTGCTTGCCTCGGCAGAGTCTGTAGCGTTGGTGTCGCGTCCTCGCCGCTCGCTTTCGCTGAGACAAGCACACAGCGCGATCTCGTTTTCCACACAACCTTCCTTACGCAGGACTACATTTTCGATTACGCACGCCACTTTGCGTGTGTACACACACACACACACGTAACGCGTGTGCGCGCTTGGACATAATCTCATTCTTGGTCTTATGTTTTTTTATTTTTCAATTTTTTACTTTTTTTTTTTTCTTAACTATACTCGGGAGAACTTTTGTATTTTTGCGATTGAACTTGAAATTTGAAACAACCTGTAAGCGAAAACTTCGTACAATCGCGACATCGTCAAGTTACCGTTACATTGAGAAGTTAACAAAGTACACACGCGAGCTAAAGCTCAAACTAAAATTATAAAGTTCAAACTAAGGACGATAAAAGTTTAGGTTAAAGCGAAAGCTAAAAAGCGGATGCAATAAAACTATACCGAAAGCGTAAGAATAATAAAACTGTTAAGCAGTACAACAGTATTAAAACTGATAAGGTTATAGAGCTTTCTTCTCGGGAATTATTAAAAAGTTACAGTTAGCGAAAATAAGGGAGCGCAACGAAGCTAAGAAGACTGAGAGAGGCGAATGTAATGGACTTCAAAGACACGAGACAAGAGAAATAAGAAA